TATGAATGTTTTAGTATTTTTACAGTTACTAGTTCACTAAATGCTATCTTCTGACAGAGTTTGAGAATTTTCGATTTTTTTTATTTTTCGCGACTTGGTCGACCGTTGCTGACAGCCTCTCTTAACCTGTGAAAAAATAGTACGCATAATAATGAGTAGCAGACAATACAATACAATAAACTTTATTTAAAGAGGGTGACGTATTAACCCATTGAGTTATCATCTAGTATTAGCTAAATAATCATTTTTCTTTCACAGGTTAAATAAATGATTCTCTACCTAATTGCAAAATTTTCGTAAAAAACTATTACAAAAATAAATTGTAAAAATCTGAATCTGTTCAATTTGAGAATCGAACCTGTGACTCTAGGAATGAACTAAACATCAGAGAGAGACAGCACTATTTAACAAATAAAACAGCTTTTTCTGTGCTCTGTTCAGTAATAAAGCACGCAGGAAGTGACGTAAGCACGAAAGAAGCATAAGGAGAAACACGAGTCGTAGGCGAGTGCTTCTCACTTCCTGAGTGCTTACGGCGCTTCCTAAGTGCTTTATTACTGAACGGAGCACAGAAAAAGCTGTTTTATTCGTTTTATTATATAGTTACRAATTTTTTTTCTGTATTGAATTTGATTATGCAAAAAGAAGGATGATCACAGGATCTAGCAGCACCTTGCATGTGCGAATGGCGTCAGCACTGTGCTCCGTTCACTAATATAGCACAGTTTTTGACCAATCAGAGCACGCGTACTATCCTAACTATATAATATTTTTTAATAATCAATCTTTTTGTAATTACGCATCTTATTCCTTATCAGGTTTCTGTGTCTTGTGGTATCCCAGACTTCAGATCACGTGATGGTATATATGCTCGTCTAAGTCAAGAGTACCCTGACCTACCAGATCCTCAAGCCATGTTTGATATTACATACTTTAATCAGAATCCCAAACCATTCTTTAAATTTGCTAAGGTAAAAAAAATATTATAGTATGAGAAGATTATCCTTATTTTAGTATAAATACATGTACACAGGTGATTATTGAAAATCTTGTGCGCTGATTGGTCAAGAAACTCAGTTCATTTTGGTTATTAATTATTCCCCGATATTCACTTCGCCTTTGGCAAATAATTATTGTTAAATAATGAGAAATATTCTAACCAACCACGGCTCTTGAAATTCTTGAGTTTCCCAGAGTCTCTGACATTTCATTCAATTTTTCTAAGGTAAAATAAAAATATTAGCATGACATTATCCTTATAATGATGAAAAATATTCTAACCAACTACAGCTCTACAAATTTTAGAGTTTCTCAGTGTCTCTGGCATTTCGTTCAAAACAATTAAAATTTATATTGGATAGTCCCAAAAAATATCCATACCCACGCAACGAAGTGAATTTGTAAGAGGACCCCCTACCCCCAGGAACTTCTAATTTTCTTCCATACGAACTCTGTAATTTTGTTCTTTCTCTCATCCCCTCCCCTCYAGAATTTCAAGTTTCCTCTGTGGGTGGGGTATGGATATTTTCTGGGACTACACATTCTGTTTTATTTAGCTACCTGTTGCAAGTC